ATACAAACACGCATTAAAAGGCCCTGCAGTGGCTTTGTTTGAACGAGATTGCAACTATTGCGACAGAGTGTGTTGGGTTAATTACGGCCGTCGTCCACTATTAGCATTGATGAGGCCACATTCCACCAGTCTGTTCCAATAACTTTCGGCCGCCGGTGTAATGAATTGCAATTCAGAGCAGAGAGGAAGCTGTGTATCAAAAACAATTAGACTCGATCAGACTGACTCATAATCACCCTAATTATCTGTATTTGCATCCTGATTAAATACGTATCTGCTATGATAAAATGCCACACTGTATTTATTTGAGACAAACTGCAGTGTGCGGTTTAAGACAGATTGAGGATGGCGAGATAAAGAGACAAATGAAGAAATATCGGGAGGATAAAATAACCTCGCAACACCAGGGCAGTTTTTCAGGGCCTTTCCAGACTCCCTTGACAATTACTGACAACTAAATCACAGCCTGACAACAGGAAATCCTCTTACCAGATCATTCCGTGTAACACCTCATGATTTGAGACGGCCGGGTCAGTTTGTGTCATTCAATGACTGTCAAGTTAAGACCAAGTAGCTACGGAAATTGCTAGGGAAGAAATGGGCATGGACAGAAAAAAGGGAATATGCCGCTCAAAGAGGAGAAACCTGATTCCATCAGAGAGAGGAGAGATAAATGGATTCTATGTAAAGATTGTCAAGAGAAAGAGAGAGAGACAGCACGGGTGTGAGACAGACCGATTGAGAGAAACAGGAAACGCCTCTCAACTCTGTGATTTAACGGTCCGGAGAGCCGTGCCCGGCAGCAGACGGGGAAACAGTTGGCATGCCTCTCATTACGGTGTCATGCCAGTGTCCCTCTCTCTCTCTTTGCCACCTGTCCAGCATACCTAATGCCACCCTGGCAATTTGCCACCGCCATTGGCTGACATCATCAAAGCGAGCGAAGGTGGGGCGTCACCGCAGACTGGCAGCGAAGAGATGGGAAGTTGTCTACTGCCATATGTTTTTGCCCTTCCAAACCACAGGTCATTACTGCCATTTTTTTATTTTTTATTATTTAAGTTTAATTAACCCATCTATGTGGTCCCTCTTATGGGCCAAGAGCTTGATCCTGACAGAAGCCGAGGGTCTTTAGAAGTGCTAAGCATCGGTGAGATCACAGAAAAGCAGTCTGTAATCACATCGTCTCCACAGAATGCTCAACACAGTGTCTGACAAAACTGTTGGACAGCATCAAACCCCAACAGCTTGACATGGAGACAGTACCTTCTTCACAATGTGCCATTATATTTAGGGTTGGGAATCAAGAACTGATTCAGTTTTAAATAAATAAATACTAGAACCGAAAAATGTTCTGCACAGCAAACAATTCATGAACGGTTCTTTATAGTGAACAGAAACATACAAGCATGACTAGTGAAATCTGTTTGACTCTTATGAGTGATTCTTTTTAGTGAATCAAAAACGTATAGGAAGTCTGATTCCCATTTGAATTACTCTCATGAGCAGTTGCTTTTAGTGAATCAAACAACATAGATATTGGTCAGTGAAGTCTGATTCCTGAGCTAATGATTCTTACAATGTCTCTTTTTAGTGAATTGTAAATGTTCAGAGGAACAAGTTAAGTTTGATTCTTAAGCTAAAGACTCTTATGAACATTTTCTTTTCAGTGAATCAAAAACATACGGGAATACTGATACCCGAGTGAATGACTTTTATGAATGTGTTCTTTATAATGAATCAAAAGCATACAGGAAGTCGGATTTCACTCTTATGAGTGGTTCTTTTTAGTGAATCGTAAATATGCAATGAGTCTGATTCCCAGGTGAATGATTCTTATGAGTGGTTGCTTTTAGTGAATCAAAAAAAAAAAAAAACGGCCTTGATCAGTGAAGTCTAATTCCTGAGCTAATGACTCTAACAAATGGTTCTTTTGAGTGAAAAATAAATATTCAGCACAACCAGTGAAGTCTGATTCTCAAGCAAATGACTCTTACAAGATGGTTCTTTTTAGTGAATCAAAAACATAAAGGAAAATCTGATTCCTTAGCAAATTACTTATGCACAGTTCGATTTAGTGAATCAGAAACTAACATCGCGGCTTATGAACCTGTTATTTTTTAGTGCACAAAAAACAAAGTTTGTCTAATTGCTGAACAAAAGGCTTTTATGAATGGTTAATTTGAGCGAATCAAAAAGTCATGCTGTGATTTTGAGTCACTAAATAGACCGTTTATAAGAGACATTAGCTTGGGAAATGGACTTCACTGGTAAAACTCATTCAAAACAGAGTCTGATTACCAGACAAAGGACTGTTTTTATTCCCATTCACAGAAAAATGCAGATTCTGTCAAGAAAGGACAATATTCAGATAGTCAACAGCAGGAGCGCTGTAACCTAATACTAGTACAACCTTTTAATAACCTTCCCACAATCAATATGCACATTACAACTCCTGTATAATTCAATATGCATATAATTCAATGCGTTCCTTGAGCTATAAAGCCTCCTTGGTCATATTAAGAACGATATGAAACCATATCGCACATTTCAGTTCTTAAATTCCAACCCTCTGTGGACATGAACATCCAAGCGTCCATGTAATTAGAAACTTCTTTGTTTGAACTTTCTGCCATGACCTTTTGACGGCCATGCAAACTATTCCCTAGCAGCAAGGCCTCATGGGTAATGTAGTCCATGCTTGTAATACTGAAGAGCCTGTCTTCTCAGATGTATGTTTTTTTCATTCTCTACAATATTCTGCAAGGCGACAGTGTCCTAAATGCAATTACTGTACACAGCAGAGCAGAGCAGAGCGGAGAGTGTCCGCGGGGATCGCTGGTAAACAGGATGCAGTCGGGGGTGCAGGAGTTCTGCTGCTACCTAATTTAATTGGCGCAGCTACTCAGATAGCCCCAGGTGACCGCTACATGGAATCATTGTAAAGCAAACATTTAAAATCACCCCAGGATATACTGATGCACCTTTTTTTTCCTCAAGATCCTTTCATGCTGACGTTTTTTTATTACTTTCTCTTTGTCCCAGGGAGGAACTGTTGTCACCATGATGAGTTTATAAGGAAGATATTAAGAGCGTAAACAGTGATGGTACAGCTGAGATGAAAAATAAAGAAGTAAAATGGTTTGAAGGGAAGCGAGAAAGCGTGACAGAGAAATACGGGATGGTAACCAAAGCCTGTTTATAAGTCGTATGATTCACAAGAAAAAATTATTACACCTAATTAAGTACGAGCAAGGTTTCTTTTAATTTTTTTTAGCTTAAAAATACATGAAGTTTTTAAGTGTTAATCACTCAAAATGATTAAGGATAAAACTGAAGCTGTGGGGAATATGCATATTGCTTATGCCCTTGTTTATGATGATTTAATTATGTATAATCAATGCATAGGAACATACAAGGACATATGACAGCTGTTATTAAGCATTATTATAGGTTTAAGTTTATTTGAGTATTGCTGACGTTGCTTTGTTGCACTCTGGTTTTGTGTGATTATTGTTTCCCTCTGGCAAACAATTGTTCCCTGTTGAATTTAAGCCATTTCTCATCACACAAATGCAAATATCTGATTTTGAGTCATTTTGAAAAGTCCAGTCAAAATTTCCTTTCTAAACGAAACAATTATTAGTAACTTTTAAACAATGTATAACAAATAAATAAATAGTTGGGTGTCAGTAAGGTTTATTTATTTATTAGTTTATTTTTAATGAATACTTACGCAACAAGGGCACTTTAAATTGATCAAAAGTGACAATAAAAACATTTTCACAATTACATAGATTTCTGTTTCAAATAAATGCTGGTTAAGGGCTACTGAAAATGCTTTGCCATCACAGGAATACATGTAATTTTAAAATATAGCAAAATAGAAAAGAGGTATTTTAAATTGTAATAACAGTTCACAATGTTTCTGTTTTTACTGTATTTTGGTCAAATAAATGCCTTGTTAAGAATAAGATATTTCTAAAAATAAATAAATATTATAAAAACCTTTGAACAGTTATATATATATAAATAACATATATCAATAATTAGCATTGGTTTAGTTTTTTTTTTTTTTTACACATATTTACACACACACAAAAATACCTTTTACACATTTTACCACACAATTTCTGAGACCCTGTTGATTAATCATTAGCAACCAACAAGTTCGGCTTGTCAAATCATACCAACAGCTCCGAAGAAACTTTCATGCACATTTTATTAATTCTAGATGCCGTCTAAACACAAGAGCTGCCTGCTCGTCATCCAAAAAGAAGAACATACCAAAAATGTAGATAACAGTTAGATGGAAGTGCAAATGATCAAATGTTAACATAACTTTCTAAGAAAAACACTGTCAAAAAAAAAAAAAGGCTAAAACCAATCAGTAGTGCCAAAAGTGTCTGCTGGGACAATCCCATCCTCCAAACCACCGGCAACATCTCACTTCCTTCTCCAGAGCCTCATCCACCCAAGTCTTGTTCTTCAATTACTACATGCATCAGTTCATCACACAAGACTCATTCATCTAAACATTACTTTTGCTCTCAAAATACAAGAACTGATTTTTTAAAAAGTAACACAAGCTCATATCTACATTAATCTCCCTGACGATGGGATCCAGACCCTGGAAATAATCGTCCCGTATTGTGAGCGGGCTCATTAGCTGATTCTCTGATACGTCTAAACAGAATGCCGGATGATCCGTTCCCGTCTCATCTCGAGGCTGTGTCAGCCGTCACACATTCGTGAGTTTGCAGAAGCCCACACTCATCACTAGAACATTCCAATTACCCTAACAACAAACCCATCGCTCACATCGCCGACTTCCTCTAATTTGAGGCATTGTCAGATTAGCGCTTGACTTCTTGCCTTCCCTAAGCATCATAACAGCATTCGTAAAACAGTTTAAAACCAGCACAGACACAAAACAGCCTCAGCAGATAACGTCTGATGACGTTTCAGCGGAATAAAGGAGGATTTGAAACCGTGCTTACCTGAAACGGCGAGAATATCTGATCAGCCGAGCAGCACATGAGGAGAGAGAGAGAGCGATGGTGATTAGACCTCAGGTAATCAATCAATGTTAAATTATTATCGCCAATAGATTCAATCACCGTTAAATCAAATTAACTAGCCATTAAAGGGACTTCTTCAGGTGGTCAGCATTCCTGCGATGAAAACTGTCACACAACTGCAGGAAGACTGCTGCTAATTATTCATGGTGGAATGAATGCTTAATTTATTGAAATTGAACATTATTTCCTCTAGAACAGCCTTATTTCTTTTTTTCATAATAAGCTTAATGTGAATCTGCATATATGGATGAGTCAGTGTGTGTCTGTTTGGGTTAGGGTTAGTTTATGGTAATTGTAATTAGCTGTATTTAAATTTTGAAACCAGTGATACAGACTCATCCGAGGTGGAAAAGGTGAGTCACTGGGGGTTCGGGACGATGTTTCCACTGGACAACTTTCTAGGTTTGTTGTAAGACAGACAGGAAGAACTATAAATAGAACTTTAGAAAGATGGATGGAACGACCAATAAAACGATGGGTTAGACAGACAGACAGACACAAGCACCAGTCTCTATGATTTTCTGCTTATACACACAAATCTGACCACACATGCAGTTTGTGAGAGAAAGAGGGCATAGTAATCGAAAAACCCGTTCCAATGACAAAGGACTAAGAGTGGCCTTTGGAGAGCAGGTGGAGTGGCAATACCAGGACATCAGCCATTGCGGGAGCATAAGGGTGTCAGTAATCAGGTGGATAAGGGTGAAGAGAGCCGGACTGCTTGCCACAAACTATCTCTGCCAAAGTTCTGAGTGACACCTGGTCCACCAACACTTGAGCCCAAAACACAGGGCCGTGTGCCCTGACACTGCAATTACCACAGCCATGATTAAAGAACAGAGCAAGAACTCACTGATGAGCTCACTGTGATGCATAATAAACTGAGGTTTACAGCACCATAAGGATATTCTGACAATCTGGCTTTATTTTGCATCTGGCACTGAAGCCCTCTGAGGTCCTATTCTTCTCCTCGTTCCAACCCAGAATCCTTTGCTGCCTTGTAAGTGCTGAATTTCTGTCAGAATTTCTGTCTGACTCTTTCTGCAAGACTGACAATCAAAGGCGATCTACACCCCCCTCTTATTAGAGTGTCATTAGTTACGCTCATGCTACTAAAGTAACCACACTGTCCCACAAAGTAAAACATCGAAAGAGGAATACAAGAAGCAATTTGCGCTGGCAAAAAAGACACACACTACCATTAAAAAGTATGGGGTCAGTAATGTTGTTTTTGAAAGTCTTTTACGCTCACTAAAGCTGCATTTATTTAATAAAAATACAGTAAAGATAGAAAGATAGATAAATTGTAATGTTGTAAAATAATATTACAATTTAAAATAACTAAGCCTTTACTCCAGTCTTTAGTGTCACATGACACATGATTTCCTTCAGAAATATGCTGTTATAATATAATATGCTGCTCATCTCAAGTGTGCATTCTTTTTCTAAGACTTCAATAGCCCGGTGTCAATTATTCCTTACTTAATACATTCTGTAAAATTCTACTTCATTAACCAGTGTTAACACAAAAACATAAAAAATTAATTATA